GAAGAGCGTGTTTGTTTTGTGCTGCGCGTGGCTTATGGGACCTGGCCTTGGGTGCTGTTCCAGGGGCTGAAGCAGGAGCTGGAACAGCAGGGGGGCTGCCGCTGGAGCCGAGCGAGAGCCAGTGGAGGAGACAGAGGGGGCGGTGGGTGTGGGAGGGGTCCTGCCCTGCCGGTGGAGCTAATGGGACCTCTGGGGCTTAGACGAGGGGGGCGATGGAAAAGGGAATCAAAGATGCTGGTGCTGGTCAGAGGTGCTGGTCTTAAGTGTCTGGTGGGTGTTTGCGCCATTTACCGAGGCCGAGAAGATAGGCCAGTTTTAGGAGGAAAGTATTGTAAGGACAGAACCGGTGTTCCTTATGTACTTTTCTTGAATAAAATTCTGTTTATTTAGAAAACTAATAACCTAGCATATCACCTGATGAACAGTAGGTTTTGCTTTCTGCTGAGTGGAACATCATTGACTTAAGGCCGTGACACTTAACCTTTTTTCAGCCACTGAAAAGGGCTGACAGCCCTTTTCATAGTCACATTTTCTCAAATCAGAGAGAAAGATTGAGCTCCTTTAATAGCCCAGTAGCATTGCCATTATCCTCACCTTTGCTTTTTGCTTTGTTTGTTTCTTTGTGTTTTATATCTCAAATAAAATTCTAATCTAGAGCAACTCTGAAGATAGCAAGGGAAAATATAGGAATAATCCTCCTGCCTGCAGCTTGGTAGCATGTGTTGTTGAGTTGTGGTTTGTGTTCTTTGTGGTCTGAGGAAAGACTTTCTTCTTTTGGAACCTGTTTTACTCATCTGTCAGGTGTGAGGGAAACTCTCTCTTGAAATATTCTAAATCCTTAGAAATAGCAAAGCATTCACTATTGTGACACACCACGTATTTGAAGTTTTGGGCCACTGCCCTGCTACCTATGGACAAGGCATCTCAACTTGCTGCCCACCACGGACCCTGGCTCATTGCCTCTTAGGTGTGGACGGAGGTCATTTTGCCAGAGTACGTTCAGGATATGGTCCCTTAAGACTCCTTCTCCTTAGAATGCCTTTTTTTCAAATTGAGACCCTTTTTCTGGGTCATATTCATCAGCAGGTGTTTTCAGCAAACCACAATTATCTTACATAATTGTTGATTATCCATTAGCAAGCTCTTCTAGGATTTCTCCAGTCATAACTATGTCAGGTATCACATAATCTCTTCACATGACAAAAAATAAAGCAAGTATACATGGCCCAAGGATTTTGGCAGGATTATATGGTTTTATCTACCTAATCCTTTAAAACAGATCTTAAACGTCTTTCTAGTAGAATATTTTTGGATGGGCTGTTTTGGGTTTGGCAGATCTGCTGATTTTGGTAAATATGTAGTGATCCCCATGTTTTCCGCATGGGTGGAAGCCTTTGGTGTGTGTATACGGACATAGGTTTGGAGGAGTATATTCTTGAGGCTAGAATTACAGAGAAGGGAGACGTGAAAATCCAGGCCAGAAAGGAATAAGAGAAACATGATCTTGAACCTGTTGAAAAATGTCATAAATCAACACCAAGAGCAGCCACTTGCAGAAACCGAATGAAATGCAATCTCCTCACTGTCGTCTGTAGCCAAAATGGAGACTTCAGTGACAAACAGAAATGATCATTTGTATTTAAATTCCTTTTTTTTTTCAGAGCAAGACGAATACTTAGATGCTGTTTAGTCAAACCCATACGAATGTTTTCCTGAGAAGCAGTAAAAGCTATGACACGTCTTTTAACTCTGAGAGAACGTGTGTATATAAAGCTGTATTTTTACTTTTGAAACATTACATACAGTATTAACTCTCAGAAGTTGCTTCATTTGAAATGTGGTATTAAAATTATACTTAATTTTTAGCCCAGCTTTTAAAATTATTTTAGCTGAAATATTTATTTTCCCTGCAGACTTCTCTCTAACGTCAGCATAGAAGTCAGTAGTAAAATGGAAGATTTTATTTTCTGAATTCATTTAGTAGCCATGTTTTATATCTGTTCCGTT